ATTTTTCTGCAGGATGGCCCTTACGCTCGCACTTCTGACATGTCTGTCGCTTCCAAAACCCGCGATCGTCATGTATCTTCAACCCAAAGAGCGTATACGCTGTTTAAGACTTTCTATGATTGTAGTGCTTTTCTTGATCGAGTCGATCATTTAAGACGGTCGGGTCGTCTGGCTTCTGTCGCGATCCGCAGCTGCAGCCATGTACACATTACGTCGATGCGAGTAAGTATACGATCCGCCGGAGTCAACGTCTGATTTACTGCTTTCGCTTTCCACGTGAATCACTCTCGCAGCCCGAACTGATTTTGCTGGCATTTGGGACGTCTGTGACGCAAGGCGCTGTCGAAATTTAGCCGACCCCCATTGAGGTGTGAGCTTCTCAGACCTCATATTGTCGCAGAGCTTCTTCACGATCATCTGCGTCTCCAAGGCGTCACATTGTCAATTATTTCGCGAGATCGCGATCGTCCAGGGTACCAATGTATACATTCACATGTTCATTGCGGATAGCGGGCGGTCCATCTCGTATCGGGATCTTCACTCGAATCGCAGCCACATACAGACGGTAAAAGTACCCCGTTGTATTACCGTTCGATCGCTTACAGGCTTGGTAGTAGAGCCTCCCAACCAAAAGTCATTATTCTCTCCGTATTTGTCCATGAAGCCTTCTAGTGGTGCTTTCCACAAAGTCCTCGTCGATCGGCTGAGCTGGTTATACCAGTCACGCGCTGGTACCGTAAGACAATCGCTGAACACCAGGCACTTCTCCGAATCAGGAGATTGATCACGTAGAAATGACGACTTAAGCTTACTGATACGGTCTGCCCCTTTCTTTATTCATTTCTCGTCCGGAAAACTCTTTTAGTTTGTCCATGGCAGACACCCGAATCCGGAGGATAGAGAATCCACCGTTGCCTGCCGCTTCTGCCGTTTCCACATGCGATATTCTTCTATATTACTCATTACCGATGTTCAAAATCATAGTCGTACGGTCTAATAAAACGCGATCCAACCGACTCCATGTCTAAATCGGGCAAAAAAGTTTCGATTTGAATTGTTGGATAGTCGACCCCAGGCGTTTATACGGGCTTGTTATAGCTCGTATTATCTCATAGTTGCTCGAAAGTAGGAAGTCACCTGATCCAATTTCACCATTTCTATGAATTGCGTCGCCGGTGGCTTTCATTCAGCTCCATTTTCTTCCGCAATAGATCCGCGCCCCTCAGTCCAAACGACATTCATTAGATATCGAACGAATCGTTCGAGTCCTCTTCTGAATCCACTGAAGTATAACAGGACAAGCATGTAAATTCATCCTTAGGGTATTTGCTGATTGTTGTGAGGACTTGATCCATCGTTACTCGCTGCGCGATCTGTCTATCTGTGGTGTATACAAGAGGTGTCGGGTTTTCTCCAGGATCACGCTTGCCTATGAGTGGGCACAACGGCTTTAACAGCAACTGTTTGGCAGCGATCGCTCTATCGTGGTTGCACTCTAGTAGTTTGTGCATTGAACGTCCCCACAGTGAAACCTACTTCAGTGAGCGGGTTAATCACCAGAGCGCCTCCAGCACATTAGAATTTGGTTTCAATGCAGAAATTGGTCCGCGTATTTATCTGGTAATATTCGGCTTGATCGTCTGAAGAACGGGGTCGCTCGGCAACAGCTTCTTCAGCTCCTTTGAATAGTCCTCCCGGCTGATTTTGTCGAATCGCCGATCTTCGAATTTTATTTGGTGATCCAATGACTAGATTCATCTTCTTCGATTTGACCTTGTCTCCGGCTTTCCGATCCTTGTAAACATTTCAATCTTTTTTGACCGCGGACAATTTCTTCAAGCTGTCCGAATTTCGCTTCTTTCTTCATCATTTCTGACGGTTCATTTGATAGTAACAATCACGGTTATGGAATTTCCCTTGTACTTCCATCTTGAAGATCCTGCTTTGCAGCGCGATCCGCGGCAACCCCTAAAGGGACCTCAGGGGATGGTTGAGATTTTCTCCCAGATCGTGCGATCGATCTTCCTCTTCTTGTTGCAAAGCCCATCCAAAAACCTTGACGATCTGGAGATCCTTCTTCTTTACGAGACTGCGACGATCCCTATTTTGCTGGCGCTTCTGTCCCAGGTTCAGTCTTGATTCTTACTTTGTAGCTCAGAGACTCACCTGTAATAAATTAAATTACCAGAAGTTTCGGACACGCGCACCATTGTGGTGGAGTGGTGATCACAAATTTCTTGTGACCCTGACTCTCCACTGGCGCCCGGACGGCCTACTTACGGAGAGGGTACTCCGATATCGTGCTCTGCGTTTTCTTGCTCACCTTGTGTACCCGTCGGTGGGGCGGGTTACGCTCTTTTTGGTGAGATTGAGCTGAGGCTGAACTTGACCGTTCAAGGTAAAGAGGTTGATCAGGTGGAAATTCTTCACCCGGTCAAACGTAGGGGAGGATCAAGTGGAAACTGTTCTCTCGATCGCGTGTATGCTTGGGAGATCTCCCAGAGTCGCCTTTGTGCAAGGGTGATGCTTAATGCGCGATCCTTCTGACCACTTGGGCCGTCTCGCAGTCTTGAATCTAAATTGTAAGGTTCACTGCGTCTAATCGCATTTAAGGGGGGGTGAGAATTGACCATTTGCCTGGCCACAATCCAAATGCGAAGTTTGTATAGGCGCAGGTCACTCTCTGTTCAACGGGAGGCCAAAGCTCCTGCCCGGGAGAAGTCAGCGCGTGTCTTTCGTTGCAAATTCAACTCGGTTTAATCTTAACAAACCAAATCAAAATACTATGAATATGCCTATCTGTTTGCTAGATCTCTGTTGCGTACCACCTGTCTATGTAATTCACTTCTTGCATCGTGTGGTCCACAGCAGATACTCGAGTAGTGAATCTCTCCGTAGTGGATCAATCGGGTAATGGATCGCGGTATGTGGTAACACTAATTATGTTTCCACAACATAATGTGTCTAAACAACCAAGCGGTACGTACCCAAGTTAGATCGTGGTCAATCTGTCGCGTCTTTGATCGGGCATCCACGATCGGATCTCCTTCACTTCTGAAACTTCGCATGCTTAGGGATCTTGACGATCCACTCCTCCAGCCTGCTTCTATATTCACCCATCATCCATTGTCTTCAGCAATCCAGTACTCTAGTTGATGCAAACCCTTCGAATAATCCATTCCATTGGTGATCCAAGCCCTTGATCACGGATCGCGATCGTTCAATCGTCGATCCTTGACGATAATCCTTCTTGACCGTTAGGTAAATCAATCTGCATCATTTCCACAGTCGTTTTCTTTCTCAGTCGTTTGATCCCATCATTCGTGTCACCGGGCCTATCTCCGAGCGCGCTCCACCAATCAAATTGATCTCGCACTAGGCGCCATCCACACTTTCCATCATTATTCCTCTGCGCTTCTCCACATAAGTAGCACGACGTTGCGTGCGCTAAGAAACTTATAGTTTTACCTACCTGTTCCGGGCCAGGGATTAGTTTGGCCCACCCGTCGAATAGACAGTTGTCAGTAAGACCCAAGTATAAGTAGAAAACCAGGAATTATAGGAAAACGGTCTGCATAGTAACGGGGTGTTACCGTTACACTACTTGTAAGAAAGTCATTTTTAACTAGTATACATTTAGTTATACCAGCATAAACATACATGTTAGGTATACACTATAGCCAGGTGTAGTGGATTAAGTGTGTCGTCGTCTTGTTCATCTGGTTAGTGGGTACAGACCCATTAACTGCCATGCCCAGAGACCACTCGGACTTAGGACAATTTAGGTTAAAAAATATACGTAAAATAAGAGTTGAAACTAATATACAACCGACAAAAGCTTCCTCGTTAGACCTTAGCGTAAGTAACGTAACGGGCTCTAGGCCCGTTACGTCCGAATCCTAATGGCAAGGGAGAAGAAACGTAAAAGCTGAGCGGTTAACACCTCAGCTGTAACGGGGCTAGAACAACCCGTACTTAGCTTACACTATTTTTAACGCTTTGAAGAAGCCTCAAAGCCCAAGTCTTAGTTGCTTAGTATTTTTATCTCTGTTTTTATATTTTGTCTTTTGTTCATCCTAAGTACGAATGGTTCCCTTGGACTCATGGGAACCACGCAATCTACGTGCTTATGCCTTACTGACTATGAATGGGACTGAGCCCATTTAACCAGCTAAAATATACGACGTGCTACTTTCGCTACCTAGAAAGTAGCACCCCTACTTAAGTAACATGTAAACCTAATCGAAACTACTTATGTAACGGGTTGTCCCATTACATCACCCCCTTCTCAAGACAGCACTCACGAACCGTGAGTGCTCAACCAGAAGACCCAACGGAAGCAAGCCAAACGATGACTGAAGACGCAAACACCAACACCACAGCACTCCTGCGCACTGTCAGCGGGAGTTCGATGGACCACGTCATGGATCAGCACCTAATCCCTTGGGCGCTATACGACTTGTCCGGAGATCGAGCTCCGGACCTTCTTGAAACGATGCAGGATTACTTTCGGCGTTTCCGTGAATTACGCGGGAATAGTCTCGATGGTATCTCGTACGAGTTGCTCCAGCGTTCTTGGTGCGCGTTCATCCGGCGGTGGAACCGGATGCTTAAAGATGGAAGGAACTTTCAGCAGTGGTTTGCCAATCGCGGATATCCACGCCGATCACTAAATCGGCGTGCTGCGCGAGAAGGTATGCGAGAACGCACGGAACGTAGACCTGCACGAATCTTGTTACTCCTGTGACTCGATGCCTCGTCCTACACGCGAGACTTGGCAACGACACGTCTCTATTTATCCACTGAGCGAATATGAACAGCTTTGAATCCGACGGTATGAGCGCAGCTTGATAGAGCGTAAGATCACGGATAATCGTGGTGCGTAAAGCTGGGGACACCACTCGCGTTCTCGGGGACGTGGTGCCACACGCTCGCCACGATTTTTTCGCTCGCGTGGTCGTGGTGATACACATTCACCACGACGTTCTTGTCGTCGCTCTTCATCTCGTCGTTATGGTGAACGTCACCACGACGTTCTCAAAATCGCTCTTGGTCTCGTGGTCGTAGTGACGCTTCACCACGACACAGTCGTCGTTCGTCTTGTTCTCACTTACCGCGAGAACACTCAGGTCGTCGAACAAAATCTGAACCAAGCGTATGCACGGACTCGTACGCCCGAACGACGTCTGGAACGTCTCGAAGAAGCGAAGAGCGCGATTCCCACGTACTCCACACGGGTGGAAACCCGAGCCAACGTACACGATACTTGCGCACGGTTGGAACCGCGCGCGCATGGAGTCGTGACGATGTTGTTTCGCGACGAGGGTCCTCGTGACCCAATAAACTTCCCACGATCCAGCGCTTCTGACCTTTCGTGCCCAAAAGCGGTGGTGGTCTCTCGCGATGTTTATGTTGGCGTCCTGGTTGCCCAGGACGATGTAGATGCGGCGGTGAACAAGGCTGTCGATGCCCAGCTGGAAGCTGAAGCTGCTCTTAATCGAGCTGCACGGGATGAGAGAACAGCGCAGCTAGCGAGATTCGACATTTGAGCCGCGAGATGCTTGAACGGGTGCGGAACCCGGAAAGCCAGGTTCTTGGGCACGCGCAGACTGAGACGCAGCCGCGTCCGATGTCGCTGGCGCGTCGAGAAAGGGAAGGTCGACCTATGAGCCTTTGTGTCCGAGGACGGATCCAACCCGTGAAGCGTAGCTGGACGACACACCTTGAGCCGCCTGACGTAAAACGTCGGCTGAAGTCGCAGTGACGAAGAGATGTCCAGCGTGTATGCATCGCCGATCGCGTTTAGTATCGTGAATGGGCTGATGAAACGTGGCTCGAGTTTGCTTGCGCCGAGATTGGTTACTGCTGAATCTCGTAGGCCTTCAGTAGATAAAAATACACGATCACCCTTCTTGAAGTACTCATGTTCTTTCTACCACGTTTGTCTGCATTTGATTTCTGTTTATCCACCGCAGATCGAAGAGTATCGCGTACAAACCTCGTGATGGCTTGACGTTGGAGTATAAACTCTGACACAGCCATGTCATCAATTAGGCGCGCCGATTGAATTGGCGCGTAGTTGGCTTGAGGTCTTCGCATACCCAGAGAAGGGTCAATCAGTGTCTGTGCAGCCGATTGAACTAGCGGGAACTCCACCTTACGTAGTGTCTAAACAGCAGGCTTCACCCAGGATCGGGTGAAAACATAAACGCGCCCAGAATGCCGTGAGCTGCACTCGATCGTTGTTTATTTATAGATCCTCCCGCCAGAGTGGAGCCACGAAGAGCCGTGGGTTGACCCACAGCAAGAAGTGTAGGTAAACGAGGATGACGGGTCAAATTTGCAAAAAATAACGTCAACTACGTTGACGCGTGAACCGCGTTGTTGAGTGCAAACTCCGCGAGTGGTAAAAATGCACTCCAGTTCTTGAGGGAAGTTGCGTAACTTCAAAGAACATCTTCGAGGACCCGATTAACCCGCCCTTTTTGCCCATCCGTTTCCGGATGGGCTGCTGTCGACATTTGCAGCTTCGTGCCAAGCAACTCAAACAATGAAGTCCAAAATGCAGATATGAAACGAGGATCAAGTTCCGAGATAATGTTGCCTGGTAGACCGTGATGGCAAAAAACAGTGTCAATGAAGTGCACCGCGGTATCAGCCGCGGTGATCGTTGCATGAACAGGCACTAGATGTGTCATTTTGATGAATTTATTTACAAAGACCAGAATTCCCTTTCGGTCTTATTATCGGGTGCAAGCCCGAATATAAAGTCCGTTGAAACTAAGCGTCACGGCTTAGCTGCAATTGGCAGGGGTCGCAAGGGTGTCTGCGACGATGGAGATGGCTTCCCTCGTCGACAAGTTTCGCAGGGGCGAGACCAGTTGCGAATCCACTTGTACATGTGGGGCCAGAAGACGTCACGTGAGACAGCCGCGAATGTCTTTTCGCGGACCAGATGACCGCCAATTGGGGCATCATGGTACCCGTGGATGATACGAGTACGCAGATACAAGTCGAAAGCTGATTGCATTCGCAATCACCGTTCGAGGTGCATCGAATTTATCGATGCTGTATAACAGCAAATCACCATCCATAATGTATCGTTAAAATGTGTCCACGCTTCGTTCGAGAAAGAGCTCCCAGTGCAGCATCACTGGGAGCGTGGAGATAGGTAATTATGTCCGCATAATCTGAATCCCTCGCGTAAGCAGCAAAATATTCATCAAAACGGCATAAATCGGGTTTGACCCGAGTTAGATTCAACGACACAAACTTCACACATCAATCGTCTTCATCGTCGTCGTCAGTTGCCTGACGACTCAGTGTCATACGAGGATCGTAATCGGGACGTCGTGACAGTGCGTCAGCAAGAATGTTAGTCTTGCCTGGCTTGTAGTGTACGACGAAGTTGTACTCGGAGAAGAAAGAGAGCCACCGTGCCATCCGCTGTGACAGGTGCGAGCTCTTCATTTCAATACGCAGCGATGCATGATAAGTATACAGGGCGAACGTGCGTTCGCCCAGTAGGTGGACACGAAACTTGATGAGTGCGTAGCGCATAGATAATAGATCCTTATCGTGGACTGGAAAGTTCTTCTCCGCCGGCCTTATCGGTCGTGATTGGTAACTTACGACTCTTTCACGGCCCTCATGATCAATCTGCATGAGGGCGCAACCAATTGCAAAGTCACTTGCATCACACACCACGTGAAACGGCTTGGTGTCGTCAGGGAGTACCAACACTGGCGCTGACGCCAAGCTCTTCTTCACTGCTTTAAAGGCCGCTTGATGTTCGAAAAGCCACGACCACGTGGCGTCTTCTTCGGAAGTGACGATAGAGGCTGTATAGAACTGACGTAATCCTTTGCGTACTCATGCAAGTAATTAGCTAAATTGAGCCATTGACGCAACTCCAAAGGATTCTTGGGTGTGGACCAAGAACAGATAGACGACAACTGCTCTGGATTGGCTCGAACTCCGGATTTACTCACGTAGCAACCCAGCACCGGAATCCCCGGTGCACAGAATACACACTTCTTCAAGTTTGCATATAACTTGTTATCCCGCATGACTTGAAAAACCTGCTTCAGGTGTTGAAGGTGAACTTGTACGGCGCTGAGGTTACCCTCAGCGCGACTGTGGACAAAAATGTCATCGAAGTAGCTAGGAGCAAAGTATCAAAGCGGTCTCAACACTTGAGAAACCATGCAATTAAAAGTGGCTGGTGCGTTCTTCAATCGTTGTGGCATCATCAGCCACTCCCATAGCATACTACTCGGGGTACTCACCATAGTGAGTGGTATGTCACTCTGTCGCATCAAGATCTGGTAGAAGCCATCGGTCAAATCGATGGCGCTGAAGATGACGCTTCCTGACATGGAGTTAAGAACCATGTCTTTTCTGGGGATAAGGGTTTGGGCAGGAGTAGTGGCATCGTTTAGCTTGATAAACGCATGCACTATACGCCAGCCTCCCGTATCCTTCTTCACGCAGAAGGTTGGACTCGAAGGGGGTGCGACACTCTCACGCACATGACCGGCCTTGCGACGACCTTCAAAGAATGCATTAATAGCCTCAACTTGGTCTCAAGGAAACGGCCACTACCCGCTGCACAATATATCGATCCTGGTACGAGATCAATCTCGTGCCGAACACCACGATCAGCAGGAAGTTCAGCCGTAATCTTATCCGGGAATGCGTCTGCGTACTCTCGAGTAATGTCGTAGACAGGGTACCAGACTCACGCAGAGCCTCCCAAGATTGCGACGCAAATCTTTCTCCGCGCGCTGACTTTTTTTCAGCACTTCGAGAGCGCGTCATTCGCTCCTCATTCGGCTCATAGGTCATCTCGCTGATGACCAGACATACTTGTTCCACCGTGCCTCCCTGAGGATGCGTCGAAAATGCTTCCAGGAGAGTCCTGATAGGCTCGTAATCGACGACGCATCGCGAGGTGGACTCGTGACCTCAATGTATCGGCGCCTTTGTGGACTCCCGTCCACGTACACAAGAGCGTGGACACTTTCCAACGCTGATTTCTCGTAGCTTGCGTCCCCATCGTGCTTCGAGTTCATGCTCGAAGCTGGCGAACCGCAGTCAGTTGTTAAATCTGCACCTTCTAGACGCTGGATGTCCTCATCCAGGATGTCGAAACCGCGCGACGGGAGTAGAACATGCTTGTCCGTCGATGCATGATGCGGGAGCCCCTGCTCGACTGCCACAAACACGTGTGGGAGCCCCTGCTCGACCAAGTCTTGCTCATGTGGGAACCTCTGTTCGACCACAGTGGGCGATGATGGGAACCCCTGTTCTACCATCATGTTCGCACGTAGGGAATCTTGTCCATCCACGTCACACTCGGTGGCGAGCCCCTGCTCGGCCACATCTTGCCCTTGTGGGAGCCTCTGCTCGACCACAATAGTTGCAGGTGGAAACACCTTTTCGTGTTCGACCACTGCTCTCTCGTGAGGGAACCTCTGTTCGACCGCGTCGTCTTCGTGCGGGAGCCACTGCTCATCCGCGTCGTTATTACGCGGGAGCTACTGCTCGTCACGTCGGACTCATCGCTGCAAAGCGAGGAGATATCGTCACTCGTGCGTAGGATCATGGAACATGCAGTACAGAGAGGGCCATCACTCACTCTGTGTACCGCCGCGGTCGTGGATGTACGATCCACGACTGTAACGTTCGGCCAATCACTTAAGAACACTAAGAGATGGGTGAACACTTTGCTGACGTCAAACTTACTTCGACGTCTCACTGATCTGGCTAGCCAGTCGATCTGGGGCTTATAGCGTGCCAACCATGGCATGCCCAGGATGCAATCGAATGCACAATTCATCTCGATCACCAAGAAATTGTCGTTACTGCGAAAGCCGTCAAACATGTATGGCAACGACACTTCGCGCCGCTAAACGAGGCGTGGTCTCCCGTCAGCGAGCTTGATAAAAACTTGGGCAGGTCCCTCGTGGAACTGGATGCTGGGTGGCAGCATTGACACGCAAGATTCACGGAAGAAATTGTTTGTCGCTCCTGAATCCAAGAGCACTCGTAGAGGTCGGCGGATACCGGCAACATGCAGATAACAATAATTAGGCGTGAATCACCAATCGTAGTGGTGTATTTGACCGTGTACGCAGCACAGATGGGCTGGTAGGTCAGGCTGCCACCGGTGGATCCGGAACTCCCTTCAAACCAGTAGGGCTCCCTACAACTACCGGTCTCGTCCGTTTTTTGGACGAGTGAACAGAGCACCTCCCTCATGATGGGTGTTCGTCGTATGCACCGACATCGGTGCTGGCGCGCGGCATTCAGCCGCGCGATGTCACGACTTTCTACATCGAAAGCAGATCATCTGGCGTCCGCTATGGACGTCGCCCTTGTAGGACGTAACATGTCGTCGGTCACCCGACGACTCAATCGCATCAATCTGCATAATATTGGGCCCGCTGATCCGACATAGGTTACAAGTGAAGGCTTGGTTTAGGCCTTGGTAGCTCTTAAGTCCCCACAAAGGGCGATAGCGAAAGCCTCCTCCATCGTGGCAGGCTCCGCGCGTTACAGAGATAGGCGAGTCTGCCCTTCAAGCATGCCATCGACAATCACGTTCACTTGTGTGTACATGTCGATGGGATGCGTGACAATGCACGAGGCCAGATGTCGAGTCATCTGCACGTACTCGCGCATGGACATCTTTCCCTGTCTCAAGGACAGGAACCTCGATCGCACCAACTTCTCTTCTTGTGGCGGCTCGTAGGCGAGTAGAAGTTCACTCTAGATGGCTTCCAGAGTGGGGAACGCATACTCGTCCACTACGAGTTTACTTAAAGCCTACTCCTTCGCTTTCTCACTGAGACCGGAAAGGAGGAAGTAGACCCTCGCTTGAGGAGCCTCTAGAAGTCTCGATGCGATAGCGATATCAACCTCTCGGAACCAAAGAAACAGCGACAAGCGTTCTTTGCCTTCACCAGAGTAGACGGAGGTCTCCATCTTCACGGCATCGTTCCGTGAAGTTCGTGAGGGAGTTAAACCTCGCCAATTTGATTCGGCGAGCTCGCGGGCCATGAAGTCGTGTATGGCAAAACGCTGTTCATCAGGAGTCGCTGGTTTCATCAGCGACACAACGAATGCCTCTCCAGATATCGCCGCGAGGCGATTTAGGGCATCCCACTCAACACCAGTAGATGGGGAAAAGTCGCGTGCTCCAGACTCACGCCTCGAGCGTCAAAGTACGACGAATCGCTCATCCCAAACTCGGGCAATGGAAAGGACTACTAAGTGCTGCCAGGTGTAACGGGGCTAGAACAACCCGTACATAGCTTACTTAATTTCTAACGCTTTGAGGAAGCCTCAAAGCCCAAGTCTTAGTTGCTTAGTATTTTTATCTCTGTTTTTATATTTTGTCTTTTGTTCATCCTAAGTACGAATGGTTCCCTTGGACTCATGGGAATTACGCAATCTACGTGCTTATGCCTTACTGGCTAAGAATGGGACTGAGCCCATTTAACCAGCTAATATATACGACGTGCTACTTTCGCTACCTCGAAAGTAGCACCCCTACTTAAGTAACAAGTAAATTTAGATCGAAACTACTTATGTAACGGGGTGGCCCATTACACCAGCGACAAGTAAAGGCCAGTCGCTACCAGCATCTATGATAACTGGTTACAAGACCACTCTCGACCAAGTCGATCGAGTGGCTGCCAAAATTGGACACCGACAGAAGCATATCCGGTCAGGGCCGCCAGGTCGACCTCTGTCAAATCCGACGTCTTTAATCGTCATTAAGTCCTCCGAAGAGTGAACTCGCCAGCTGAAGGGTACAAAGGTGAGTCAAATTCTACAGGTGGCATCGAGGTACCCCCTCCGCCAGTCGTCAGTCCGGTACAGCAAGTGGTTTAGAGTCATGTCAAACAACTTTGACAATCCACTCCACCTCAAGTACCTACGTTTTGAATGGGCTCAGGCAATTTAGAGAGTAACCTTGCATGACAGGTTATAACTATGTGCTGATATTTTAGGGTTTAGGGTGTAATTTGTATGTGAATAGTATTCATCACACTTTTATCCAACAATGATGCCTAGCTATTGTACATCGTTCTACACTGGCTTGATTCGTCGAATGGTGGAGGAGTATAGTGAAAGCAAGATGAAGAAGGTGTATAGCGAGTTTTCATAGTAAAGGGGAAACAGCCCCAAGACCCGGAAACCGGGGCGAAGCTTGAAATCCGAAAGAACTGGGCCTTGGTATGGGCATACAAATCGCAATTAAGTCGGACGGTATGAGACCAGAATGCCTTCAAGTGTTACCGACGGAGGCTTAGCGTAACGGTTAGCGGCCTCCATTTGATGATTGCGGGTCGGGTTCAAGTCCCGCGGGGTGTGCAAAAAATGACTTGAGTTAACTAAACGTTCTAAATTGGTAGTTGGCGGTGAACACTTCGGTGCTGTATTGAGGTAGTAGTCACTTGACCCTTGTACGAAAACGGACGCCCGTCCCCCAAGCCTAGCTTGGAGTCCAAACTGACAACCTCCACAGGAGGTAGCCGGTAGAAGTACTGTAACGGTAATAGTCGGAGGCGTTAAGGGTCCGTAATAACAGCAGGATCCCGATCCCTCCAAAATGGCGACATCACAAAGGACTCAAATCGGAGTAATCCGTGACCTCATTCAGGCGCAAGAGTAGCCCAATAATAGCAACAGTGAAATCAGATAATGCACCATCCCAACAAGGCAAAGCCAATAGCCAAAAGGCGACGCCAAAAATAAGGCAAAAGTCTTATGCCCAATGCCAAGGCTTAGGGAAAATCGACCTGTACCAAAATCAAAGAGTGATGGCCCATGTCTTAACGGATAGAGAGATGGTAACCGTTTACGTATCCAGTACCGTAAATCAGGAAGACGAAAATGCGGGGGTACATACAGGATAATTGTCTAGGGGTCTGAGATGCAACTACAGGTCTTGGAGCAAAGCAGTTAGCTGTACTAGCGTGATACTGGAATGGCGTAAGCTGCGGGTAACCAAGTCTTGGTAAAGTTACTCAGTATGAAGAGTGACCACCGCGTGAACCTGAGTTTGGAAATTGATCAGGTTGGCGGGAACATCATTAAATCGAATATCATTGCGGTGCATCCATAGACATCGAAATATAACCGCCCGGACGATGTGGAAAACCACGAAAAACTATAGCCATAGTGTTCCTTCGCAACTTGAGTCGGCGTGACAGCAAACAGGAGTACCGAACCCTATTCAATCGGCGATAGATTTTGAAACCGGTTGATCCAAACATCCCTGACTTTTTCCGCAAAGCTGCAGCACCAGAATAGGTGATGAGCCCGTTCCAGTGCTTGACACCCGTGTTGACAGGAGGTAGTGGCACTCGAAAGATGTTGAAGTTTGTATCCAAGAAAGAGCGTTATGCTGAAGTCGGTAGAGCAGGTCAGCGTATACCGGAAGTAAGTGCTTGCCCATATTGAGACCCGACAGCACATGGATGGCGGCGGACCTTTATCCAGGCCTAGCCAAGATAACGGCAGGGCCGGGGTGGTGTGATTACCCAGTATGCTCTGGATACGAGCCACACTCAGCTGATCCAAAGGGTAGCCGTCAAAGACCCGGTCGTGGTAGGCGCTAAGTAATTGAGGCTTGCTAACCGGTCCAGATGGGAACACCATTGAGGGTCCCAGAAACCGTGAACCCGCGCCAGAAAGTTCGCGCAAACCCTGATAGTAGGCCTACGACCTGGGTTGATGGACTAATGAAACAGCGATAAGGAAGAACCAGAAACCGGAGAGACACAAGCCTGAAACAGATTAGCTGGGCGGTGGAGACCGAGCGTAGCCAAAAGAGTAGTCCATTGCGTAGGACGGTACTGACCAGCCATTGAACGCCCAGTCGAAGGATAGGTTATATTCACATTGTAAAAAAATTGGCGTCGTAAGTTTTTCGAACTTGGAGTTGAAGCGGACGATCTTTCGGCGGAGGCGTGTATTCCAAACGAAAAGAACCGAGTGCCAAGAGGCGCCGAGATCCACCCATTGTCGTGTGCGAAAAGAGATAGCGTGATCTGGACTTGTCGTAGCCGGCGTACACAGGATATCGAAATTTTGTCCCCATGGTCGTATAGCGTTATCGAAAAGGCGTATCACCGATAGATCCCAAAGGAGAACACCATAACCGGAGTTATTCCGGGTGGCCAACACAACCTTGCACAGCATACGAGCCTGAAGACTGTGGACCATATCTCAGACCCGAGTAAGCCCCAATCCCCCTTGACCGAAAGGCAGAACCACCAATCCTCGGACAAAGCGATGTTGGCCAAAAATCACAGTATTGGCAAAATTATGTGTTGCAGGATAACCACGTGGCCGCCAAGAGTGCGTGCTCATTGAGTCTAAAGGGTTTACCGCACTTGAATCCGCGCCAGTAAATGGTGAAGCCGGTCTGCTTAAGATAAACAAGGACCGTAATGTATCCAAAGCAGTTGAGTGCGTCCGGAATTACCGACGACGTCAACACCCAAGTGTTCAAGGTCGAGGCGTAGAGGCTCTGACGAAGCCGATCAGGGACGCAATGGCAGCACCACAGTCTTATCGTTTTTAATCCGCATGCTGACGACGAACAAAAGACATCCACGAGATCGAGAAATTCCTGTGTGTGGTGGGGGTCGTGAAGAAATCCCGTGCAGTCATCAGCTAAACTAATGACTGAGTGGGTCTAATCATTACAGCGGAGACCTCTATCTTGAGACTTGACGCGTAGTAAATTGAGCAAAGGCTCAATAAACAGCACGAAAAGCGCCGGCGATAGAGGATGACCCTGACATACACCCTCCTCTAATTCAAAAGGGGCCAGTGGACACCCATCAAACATCAGGTTGACGAGTGTACCCGGATAGAGTACCTTGATCCAGCGTCGAAAACTGTGCTCAAAACCAAAGTGCACCATATCCAAGGCACTTTAACGTCGCCATCGAAAGACTTAGTGAAATCTAGTAAAATTGCCCCAGCCGGAGAGTCCTCACCAGAATAGAAATGAGCCAACGCCTGATAGCGAAGATGGGCATGACGAATCTCCCTGTCCGGGACAAACCCATATTGATCCGAGTGAAGAAGGGAGGGGGGACAGCAACCTAGATGGTGCGCCAAAGTCTTGAGCCCTAATTTAGCATCTACAGTAAGAAGGGATATAGGGTGATAATTACTTGGGGCGGAACGATCTCCGTGCTTATAACGCAGCGAGATTTGCGCTCGGCGTAAAAATTGGTCATTTTCCTTTTGAAATTGAGCCGCATAAATCACCTCATAAATGCGGCTCCAAAGGGAAAGATCAACTTTATAGTAGGCCAGTGGTAACCATCCGGACCCGGCGTCTTCCCGGACGCCATGTGCTTGAATGCCCAATGAAAATCATTCGCAGTGAACGGACTTTCCAGATAAGCCCGATCGGCGGGAGTCAATCTTGACTTCGTATGCTTCAAAAGTCGCGAAAGCGCAAAACGATTCCAGGAAGGAAAGTTTCGTATGCTCGGATTCCCGTAAACGCGAGCAGAAAATGCCGGACCAATTTTTGTTGAATGTGGCACATGTAGTCTCCTATTCTTCAGCCTAAATCACACGAATGAGGGTCTTGTGGAGTACTTGGGGTGGCCTAAAGAAAAATTTGGAGCAACGCTTAGTGGCTAGAAAATCAGAGGCAAATTTTTGCTTGGACGAAAAAAGCGCAGACTCTTCCAGTTTACCAAATAAGGCGGCTTTAGCTTCAGCAATAGAGGACGTTAAGTCTACCGAGGAATCCAGAACTTGGTCGTGCTGTAACCGATTAAGGTAAAGGTCAAGATCCTCGATAGCACATCGACGGGCATTCTTGTTGAAGTTGGATAAGTCGCGTAACAAAATCAAGTCCCGCCAATTATGTTCGACGAGCAGGTAGCCAGGGTTGTAACGCCATTGACCAGGGTCGAACGACGCAGCAAGACGTGCGAGAAAGTCCCGAAGATAATCATGAGCCTCGGGTGGTTGAATGACCTACGCTGGACATTTCCAGGGGGCCCGACTGGGTGGTAGAAAGTTATTGGACCCAGCTCAAAATGATAAACTGATATGGTCACCTATCCCAGACTGGGCCCGAAAATCATGGTAAATGTCTTGAAAAACAGAGTGAAAAAGCTGATAGTCCACAAAAACGTAGTCGATCCGGTAAGAAGCGGTCGGACTCGTGAACTCACGAAGATCCGGATGTTGAGGACGCCAGTTATCGACCGAGGTGAAGGCCGACATCCAGTCCAGTAATTCGTCACGGCCTTGACGACGCGCACGATTTTCAGAGCGAGCTTGGTCGAGCAGGCTTGAGAGAACTGCATTGAATTCCCTCAGAACAATATTATGGGTGTCGTCCTCAAAATGACGGGGAAGCGTCGAAAAAAACTCCGACCGTAGCCCGGATTGAACGGGGGAATACACCGCATGGATGTATGCCGGGACCGAGTCCAGTGTACCCCGAACCAGCAAATAGCGCGAAAGTAGTTCCTGAGAACTGGCGTAGCAAAGAGTAACGTCTTCAAAGCCTTGAATATGGCATGTCGGCGTAAGAAGAAGTCCAACACCCGCCAACCCGGTGTAGGAATCCATGTTGTCTAGAGACCAAAAACTCATATTAAGGCATAAAGCGGTCTGCCATAGGTGCGTCGCCCGTATAAATCCCTTTATCCCCGTAAAACGGGTTTCTTGGAGTCCATCGAGGTGAAAATTGTTCGAGGGTTATCAAGGGTCGATACGAAACGGCATTGAAATTGTTCGTATTAATCGAGTATTCTCGAACGGTCCAACTCGCTTTAGAGTAGAGCAGGAGATTGGGGTGCCACAATGGTAGCCCTTCCCTTTAAGAGATAAGAGGCGTCGTTTGAATCAGTGGAACTGTGGTAAAAAAAAGGCGCTCTAACAAGGGAGAGAGAACGATCGACGCCAAGGTCGGGTCATCCCAAAGAAGATTAAAAGGGTGAGGCAGTGACAAAGCCACCTTCCCTATTATGGTACCCAATTGTAGTGGGTCTAAGCAGATGCTGGGTACCACAATTTGCAGAGCCAAATCGAGCTCAGCCAGTCTGACTTGGCCCCAGTATTGGTCCTGATCCGGGCACAGTTGGCTGAGGACGGAGTGAAATTCGAAGTCCGACTTATTTGGGTACAAGTCACCTAGTCGCTGCAAAAGTGACCCATAATCCGTTGGAGAAGACGGGTAAGTCGCAGCAACACGAAGCACAGCATGACCAGAAACTTTATTCGTAAAAGCTGGTGATTGTCAGCAGCCTTGGTGTCAAGCAGAATACAAAACTTGCTGGGTTGGGCTTGAATTGTGGATAGGACGCTATCCGGGTCGTGCTCGGAAGCGAAGGTACCCAAAAATTCGTCAATCACCGAGCAGAGTTCCGTTAGCGTTAAGGTTTCCACTGAACCTTGGTAAACCGCCGTATTTAGAACGCGTTCGGGTACCGCCGGATATTCCACAAAGGAACTAACTGCTTTAAAGGGGGGTTGACATTCTGATCTTATAAGACTATGTGTTGATCCGGAGAAATCTAGCCGGTCGCCCCTTCACTGAGTCACTCGTAAGAATCTAGTGAAGAAACATATGGGTATTCCAATTAAAAGAAAAGAAATTGTTGCACCTCAGACTCCGGAGTCGTAATAAAGCCAAAGACCAAACACTTAGCCCACTAAATACGAGCGGGGGCGTAGGCCTCTAAGTCGATAGCTTGTACCGGAAATTGGGTGCCTCCCCGGCGGGCCATATGGGCGTATGGTCTGCCGTAATAGCCGACTCTACATCGTCCATAGCACCAGAATGACTTGAATCCGAGTCCGAGAAATCCCCACTATGTGGCTCACCATCACAGCCGGAAGCATCGGCCATAATGGTGTGATTGCCAGCATCACTTTCGTCGTCGAAGGCAGGAGGGATGTCATCCATAACATCAGCCATCGTAGCGTTATAATCAGAACCAGTATTAACAGCTGAAGCCGGAGACTCGGAGTCCGATTTAGACGAATCCTTTGTGGCCGCCGCCTTTTTTGTCTAACCCTTTGTAGTCCGGAGGGCCTCAAAAAAGGGAGGAATAGTCCGGTTGTAGGCTCCTAGACGATGATGCACCACCGTAAAGCTTTGACCAGTAAACTGGATCTGACAAAGCGGGGTGCTGATCGACCGTGACCGATGATGGGGTGACTTTTGGTTAAAGTACAATCGGCGTTTGAGCAAACGAAGACCTCCAATCACATGGGCCAGAGTAATATACACCGGCGGAGTGACTTTTTGGCGAACCTATCGCAAATCAGCCCATCCGACACACCGTCAGGTAGGCGTTGAAGATACACATAGTACCAGTGAGAGTACTTTCAGTACGTCTGGACGGTAAATTTGCGACCACAAATGGTCACCACCATACCGCCTAATTTCGTGCAGACCTCAAGATCCGTGCACGGAAAACTGATACCAGCGTTACGGATCGTCTTTGAGTCCCGTAAATGATCCAGACTCTCTGACCACAGTAGCGGTTGGGTCGTCGAGCCGAGCGACGTCATCATTTCCGTAACGGAAAAAGTCACGGATAGGTCTCGAGAAGGAATCCACTTTGGCAGACATAGCTCAGTCGACACTTGTTGAGGCCTCCCCGCGATGGCTGCACTCCGCTTGTCTCGACTGTCTATATCCGGATCCAACAAGGCTTTTTCGGCCTTAGCGAAAATAGCGTCGTTCGGACGAGAGAAATCAACCTTAGGAGCGTCCTTCTGCCAAGTCTGACGCCATTTCTAATCCCGCTGAGGCCCACTAGGCTTACTCATGGGTACAGGCAGGATTAGGATTCCAGATGGGTCGGACCACTTACGTGCAGCATTAACACTTATCAACTACAGAAGCCGGGATAAGGTTCGGATGGAAGAGCACGTTACACACCGTTGTAAACCCGCAGAAACGCCGTAAAGTGGAAAGCAGGATAAGTTACGAATGGGCTGTATCAATTACACCCAGCAGTAACGTTGCGGTAGCAACGATGTAAACGACGCTGTAACAACGCAGAGACACCATTTACCGGAAAAGCAGAGTAAGATCGAATGGGCAGGACCGGTTGCCTCCGCAGTAACGCCGGAGTAACACTGAATACTGGAAAGGCGGGGTACGGACAGATGAAATGTACAAAGTACCAACCGCAGTAACACCGAATACCGTGTAGACGTAAACGAATGAAGCCAGCCGAAGGCCTAAAGAAAATCAAGGAAGACGAGTACCGCGGCTCTAGTGTCTGGGACACCTAAGCAACCACCGGTCAAAAGGTTCCTGAATACCCGAACCAAGGTGGCAGTACAGCCTACGTCTGTGTGTTCTCCCCACCCCACGTAGGTTATACTTTTCGACGACCACGTCCGTTCGGCCTAGCGTCCGGGCACGTGTTTCCAACTAACACTTCTCGATGCTAATGTCGCACAACAAAAGGAGTTGGAGTTGTTGGTGCTATGTGCAGATGGGATGACCGTGGTGACAAGAGATGCACCACATGGGAAAGGACGACACAACGGGATTGTGCGTAACTGTTCATGGTATAGAAATGTTTCTATATCGTGCACAACATGGGAGAGAGTACACAATGGGATTGTGTTTACGATGAGGTACATCTCATCGTTAGTTAGTTTTATCGTAGAGTCGATATGCATAGGCTTAGAGTAGAAACGTCAAACTAAGGACCTAGCTAACAATAATTTACTTTTCATTTTATCCTGTTCTCGTTGCATTAGTGATAACTGTACCCTTGGCTACCCTAATAATAAAACAAATTGTTGTGAGCCCAACTGCGTTTGACGCGAGCGACATACTACGCGAAGACAATTACTTCGTGTGGGAGTTCAACGCGAGAATGAGGCTGGCAAAGAAGGGGTAATTGGAACACCTGGATGCTATGAAGGCCCCAGAAGAAGGAGACGTTGCTGCGTCAACTTAGGGGGTCAATGACATGAAGGCCTTTGCGATCGTGGCGCCGATGGTAAGCACAAACTTGCAGTCAATGGTTCGACTGGCGAAATCAACTGCAGAGGCATGGGACATACTCAAGAATTTCTTCTTGCGACAAAGTATGCACAATCGTGTACAGCTGCGACGGCAACTACACGAGTTCAAGTTGGCCAAGGGAGGAAGCATAATGGACCACTTCCTGCGATTCGACGAGCTGTGCATGACTATGCAGGCCGTCGGTCAAGAACTCTCACCAGATGAGCACTTGGTGATACTTTTGGGTAGTCTAACGAAAGAATATGACCCAATTGTCAAGATCATCGAGAACATGGCTGATGTGACACTGTTTTCTGCGAATGAGATGCAAAGACGGGAGTATGATGGGATGGTGAGAACGGAGCACCATGAAGTTGCTTTGAAGACAACTTATACGTCGAGGTACAAGAATGGACCTCGACAATTTGGATGACGATCAAGTACTGGTCAAAGAAATGGCAAGTTTGCGGGAAGATATTACCTATGTAACAAATATGGTCACAAGCGTCAGGACTGCAAGGCTGATTAAGAAAGCAAAAAGCAATCAGGAGAAGAAAGAGCATTTACTGCGTCAAGCTGGACGCCAGCTGGGTGGTTATTAGACAGTGGGGCTAGCAGCCACATGTGTCCCGACAAAAATGAGTTCACAGAGATAAACTCACTGAGGGACCCGATAATCACTATCGCAGACGGAAACAAGGTAAAAGCTCAAGGTATCGGGACAGTGCGTGTGAAATTACAGACAGGAGACGTAATCAGGATTGAGGAGACACTCTGGAAATCCGGACTAGAACGAAGATTACTATCGATTTCGGCACTGTCAAAGAAAGGTATTGAAGTCAACTTCTCAGATTTGAGATGTCAAATAAGAAGCGACACAGAGGTGATTGCAAGTGTACCAAGACGAGACAAGATGTACGTGCTAGAGTGCAGTCCAGCTGAGTCAGCAAACGTGTGTCAAGAGACTGACCAAGAACACAGAACAAGCAGCGGATCAGGAATGGCCGATTTGAAGGTGTGACATGCACGATTAGGCCATCTACCCGCGTAACTGATTCAAGACATGGGAGACTGCGTCGATGGATTGAAGATAAAAAGAACTCAGGACAGTCATAATGATGATGAGATATGCGAAGGTTGCATGATGGGCAAGTCAACTGTCAAGACCTTCCCAAAGTCAATTCACGGGATGGTGAAAACTAAGGAAGAATTGGAGATCATCCACAGTGATGTCATGGCACTCATGGAGACGAAGTATCAAGGAGGGTCAAGATTCGTTGTAACATTTATCGACGACTTCTCCAGAGATATAGTCGCATACTATATATCGAACAAGTCCGAAGTGATTGATCGTTTTGTCGAACACAAGGCACTGATGGAGAATCAATTGTGAAATAATTTAAGTGTATAAGGACAGACAACGGAACAGAATACAAAAACAGACGTTTCTCTGGAATATGTCAAAAGTTCGGAATCGTGCACCAGACGACGGTGCCATATTAGCCACAACAGAATGGCTGGCCGAACGAATGAACAGGACGCTAACGGAGCGAGCAAGATGTATGCTAAGTCACGTGCAAGTGTACAAGATTTGGTAGGCGGAGGCCATGAATACAGCGGTTTACGTGACAAACCGAGTTCCATGTGCCAGTCATCTGATCAAGACACCATTCGAAATGACTAACGGACAAAACCTGATCTATCTGCGATGTGTGTTTTCGGTGCGAAGGGATACGAAAATGTCGATAAATCAAGAAGAACCAAGTTACACAAAACGGCGTATCGCTGAATGTTTCTAGGTTACTCTGACCATATCAAGGGGTACCGGGTATGGGATCAAAGAGCCAAAAGGGTGACGTACACGAGGTCAGCAAGATTTGATGAGCGACCGCCTCTTCAGTACATACAAGTAAATAGCAGACCAAGTCATCAGGAGATTCGCACAGTCCATGATGAAGATGTCATTTCTATTGATCAGGCAATTCCAAGCGAGATTGAAGATATGGAAGTGGATGATGGTGACACAATCCAGCAAGATATTCACATGCAAGAAGGTTCGACGACAGTGGAAGATCTACCAGCACGGAATACTACTTCGACACATGGACGAGTAGGGTCTTACGAATCTGACCGTACATTTAAAACTGATGTCGTGCCGATGATCAAAGATGTGCAAGAGATAAGTGAGCAAGATTCAATATCTGGATATATTGTGACAAAAACAAGCCAGCAGATGGTGAATGGGTCATTTCAAAAATCTGCTATGGTTCCATCTGAATCAACTCAAAGCGGGTCATCTCAAGCACTAGTGCCAATTGTTAAAAGTAGGAGTTAAGTAAAGTAAACGACTTGTATATTACCGCGCACCAGACGCGTTTCGGCCCCCCGCCGGGGGCCTCATCAGTGGTTTTTCAATCTACAAGTGAGAACTATCCATACATCTAGCTGCTGTACGACCTATTATAATGCATAGAGCCCTAAAGAACATTCTATGCATACCCTATCATGGGTCGAATCTCTGGAGTCGAAACCAGTGCATCATGCACTTCCAACACCAATGGGTATTCCAGGTGAAGAATATAATCAAGGTCAAGAGTGTCAAGAACGTGGCACGAAGCGACTTCGTATTGGATATGAACAAGCATGTGCAGCATTCGATACCCCAACTACATATGACGAAGATCTTTAATCACCTCAATGCGATGAATGATACAAGGCTATTCAAGCGAAATTAAAGGCATTACAAGACAAGAACACCTGGACAATTAAAACGCAACGTCCAAGACAAAAGGTGATTGGGACCAAGTGGATTTCGCGATCAAACGTAAATAATCTGGCGAAATTGAGCGCTTCAAGGCGCGTCTTGTAGCACTCGGCTACAGGCAGACATACGGCTTGGATTCTATGGAGACATATTCTCCAGTGGCGAATCTCAATTCAATTCGAGTGTTTTTGGCGGTGTGCTGTCAAAAAGGGATGTTTATCCATCAGTATGACATCGAGACTGCATTTTTAAACGGTGTTTTGGAAGAAGAGGTATACGTGTACCCTCCATTGGGTACACAAGCAGATCATGATAAAGTACTAAAACTAAACCGCAGCCTATATGGACTTAAGCAAGCGGAGGCGACATGGTTCAAGACAATTTCGTGTGTTTTCGTAAAGCTGGGATTTCGATCATGTGTGGCAGACTCATGTATCTTTGTCAAGCATACTAAAGGATCGTGGATTCACGTTGCACTATATGTTGATGATCTTTTAATCGAAGCTGAATCGATGTGCGCGATTACGACTGTGAAAGATCAACTATCACGTCGATATAAGATGAAGATACTAGGAAGTGTTCGTTTTTTTTTTGAATCGAAGTCATATACCTACAAGATGATCGACGACTGAAGATCAGCCAAGGATCGTGCATATCAAGGATGATCGAGAAGTTCAATCAAGTCGACTCGAAAAGTGTATCGAATCCAAGTGTTGAAGGGCAAAATTTGGTCAAGATGGACAAGACTGACCTAAGAATGAAGAATCGACCATATCGGTCGTTGGTTGGGTCTTTATTGTACGTGGCATCAGGCAAAAGACCAGATATCTCATATCCAGTATGCCAGCTGAGCCGACACCTCGAATTTCAACATGAAGAACACTGGAATGCTGCAATTCGTGAATTGCGGTATATGAAGATGTCGAAGGACAAAGTAATTTGTTTTGAAGGTATTTCTGATGATTCGCAGCTGAGTGCGTATACGGACGCAGACTGGGCAAGTAACAAGTACAACCGCAGATTGACATCTGAGGTTTTAGTCATGATCAATGGGGCACCAGTGATCTTTAAGTCGAAGATGCAGCAGAGTGTGGCATTGAGTACAGCCGAAGCCGAATACAAGGCTCTCTCTTTGTGTGCACAGGAAGTGCTATGGAAAAAGAGTTTACTGAAGGAGATGCAAGTGCAAAAAGATCAACTGTGCGATACCAATTCACGAAGACAACCAGAGTGCAATCGCAATCGCTAAGAACGACGGGTATCAAAGTCGAGCGAAGCATATCGACATCAGGTACCATTTTGTGCACGAGCAAGTGAAAGACAAGATCATTGTGCTACAGCATACTGAAACGAAGTCAAAGCTGGCGAGAAATCCTCACCAAGCCGATTTCGACAAAGAAGTTTGATTCACTGTTGGACATGGCCAAGATCAGAGACTTCTAGTCGAAAGAGAGTGTTGGTGATATGTGCAGATGGGATGACCGTGGTGACAAGAGATGCACCACATGGGAAAGGACGACACAACGGGATTGTGCGTAACTGTTGATGGTGTAGATATTTTTCTATACCATGCACAACATGGGAGAGAGTACACAATGGGATTGTGTTTACGATGAGGTACATCTCATCGTTAGTTAGTTTTATCGTAGAATCGATTTGAATAGGCTCAGATAGAAACGTCGAACTAAGGACCTAGCTAACAATAATTTACTTTTCATTTTATCCTGTTCTCGTTGCATTAGTGATAACTGTACCCTTGGCTACCCTCATAATAGAACAAAATATGCAATGCTTTTGCAAGGTCTTGATGCTTGGTTGCGTTCGTTTCGAATTCGCCAAAAGCCGTTGCTTTTGTTTTTCGAGCCAAATTGGAAGGCTTTAATATGGGTTTTTCAACAGAGCAAAGTGAAAGTATTTTCCTATTGTTGTTTGCGAGCCAAAAAAGGGTTGTGAACTTTAGTATGTAAGTGTAACAGGAAAGTGCAATGTGCTGTGAGTGTTATGCAATGCTTTTGCGATATCTTGTTGTCTTGGTCGCGTTCGTTTCGAATTCGCCAAGTGCCGTTGCTTTTGTTTTTCGAGCCAAATTGGAAGGCTTAAATATGGGTTTTTTAACAGGGCAAAGTGAAAGTATTTTTCTAGTGTTGATTGCGAGCCAAAAAAGGGTTGTGGACTTTAGTAAGGAAGTGTAACAGGAAAGTGCAATGTGCTGTGAGTGTAATGCAATGCTTTTGCGATGTCTTGTTGTCTTGTTCGTTTCGAATTTGCCAAGTGCCGTTGCTATTGTTTTATGAGCCAAATTGGAAGAATTTAGTATGACTTGGTCGTGAGCGATGATCCGAGACGGCTGCGTCCTGGTGAAATTGACCCTAGTCAAGAGGGAAAATTAACGTGGTCTGACCCCGTGGAAGTTGACGAAGACAAGAAGGAGGTGCTGTCGGACGCACGGGCTCGATTGCGAGTACAAAGGGCAAAAAAGACAAGAGGAAGAATCATGAGACGCAGCTCGAGGAAGCGCGAGGTCTGGAGGTCTTGCGAAAGAAACGAGATCCCAAGATTGCGGGCGTGTTGTCGTTAAGTTCAAGTGTGCACATGAAGAAACGGAAGGATATTGATCATGCGACCACGATCCCGTTTGAGAAGAAAACTCCAGATGGATTATGCGATGTGTTGGAGGAAAGACGATTTGCAAGTAAAATGGATGAGAAGTGTGACGATGTCAAGCAGCAGAAAGCGGATGACGGAGAAGTGCAATGTGAGCAGCAGTATCGAAAGGGTTTCGGGACAACTACAATTGAAGTCAAGAAAACGTATGTACAAAGGCAAGTTTTATCGTTTTGGAAGCACGCACCGACGGATTATCAGAAGGAAGAGGCTGAAAATGAAGAGGATGGTAATGATTTGAGCATGAGTAGTCCAAGACCAATGCGTTCGGCCGCTGCATCGTCCGATGCGGATAATGACGACTTCTGGCTGAGAAAGCATGACAAAACTCCGAAGCCGTACAACTTTGTTATAGCTGATGATATTGAACTGGCTAAAGTATGAGCGCAAGAGTCGGGCATCCCTGACACCGGACATAACACTTCTGCGCGTTTATCAAGCCCACGCACTAACCCTGCTGGTCGGGCCCAGACTAGCAGTTTTTTTGTTCGGACAAGCGTACAAGAATCACAAACCAGTTGCAATTATTGGAAAAAGAGCAGCAAATTTTCCACGCAACTTAGTCGGCGGATTCCACTTCCAACAGTGGAGCATCGATGAAAGAGTCAAAAGCATGTCAAGGGTCAAAAAGCCCTATTGATGACTTTAAACTCCATCTGAACAACGCCAGTAGCAATTTACGGCACCTCCAACAACATTTTCTCCTCGAGTTGCAAGATCGAGAATACATCATCACAGTTTTTCTCATGGAAACGAGCTGGATCGAATTCAGTCAATGAAACGTCCACGTTCAGCCCTTCGACTAGCTCCCGGCGCGTTGCTTCATCATCACCAGTCAAATCTCCCTCTACACTGCCAACAGCACTCCACAACGACCTGACTCAAGACAGCAAGGGGCGGCAAGAAGCACGCACAACGCCACGAACGTCAGCAGCGCCGAACTTTTTGAATAGATGCGGCGCGGACTTGACGCAGCTTATACGGTAAGTACAGGCGGGGCAAATTCCAGTCGTCAGATGCAAGTGGTCGGGCCTCAGTTTTGGCGTTGAAGACCGAATAGTGTACGCATTACGAAGTGCTTGGTATCGACAAGACAGCGACGAGCGACCAAGTCAAGAGGTCATACCACAAATTGGTGGGACCAGGAGGCTGTGCGACGTGCGAATGGACGGGCGGAGCTATACCGTAGGAGGTCGCCACGCGCGTAGACTTGTGTAGGTGCTAAACGGGATCTATTATCGATTGCTCCATTCACTGTTTATTTTTCGTGTGCGATTTCAACAGCCGAATTTTTAATCTGTGGGCAAGCACTTAGATCTCGTCTGTTGCGGAGCAATTCGTCTCCCACCTTTGTATACAGCTAATTGCAAAGCGAAAATCTATTCGGCCACTCTGTCTGATTGTGAATGGCACTCTCGCTACGCCACACAGAGACGCTCTTGACAGCGTAGAATGAGCTGCACATCAAAGTCGAGGGTGTAGGGTGTAGAGTGTAGGGTGTATGGTGTATGGTGTAGGGTGTAGGGTGTAGGGTGTAGGGTGTAGGGTGTAGGGTGTAGGGTGTAGGGTGTAGGGTGTAGGGTGTAGGGTGTAGGGTGTAGGGTGTAGGGTGTAGGGTGTAGGGTGTAGGGTGTAGGGGTGTAGGGTGTAGGGTGTAGGGTGTAGGGTGTAGGGTGTAGGGTGTAGGGTGTAGGGTGTAGGGTGTAGGGTGTAGGTGTAGGGTGTAGGGTGTAGGGTGTAGGGTGTAGGGTGTAGGGTGTAGGGTGTAGGGTAGGTGTAGGGTGTAGGGTGTAGGGTTTAGGGTTTAGGCCTAGGGCCCAGGCCTAGGGCCTAGGGCCCAGGCCTAGGCAGGCCTAGGCCTAGGCCTAGGTTTAGGGTTTAGGGCCTAGGGCCTAGGGTTTAGGGCTTAGGCCTAGGCTTAGGGTTTAGGCTTAGGTTTAGGGTTTAGGGTTTAGGGTTTAGGGTTTAGGGTTTAGGGTTTAGGGTTTAGGGTTTAGGGTTTAGGGTTTAGGGTTTAGGGTTTAGGGTTTAGGGTTTAGGGTTTAGGGTTTAGGGTTTAGGGTTTA